ACCTTCCCCAAAAACGGGCTTTAACATTTTTGGTTAATAAAATATGTACAGAAATAAGTGAAAAACGTGATTTAAACCACCGGATTTTGCTGATTACAATGGATTTAATTTTATTCAGGATCGTTATGATTCAATAAAATATTTATGTGCTTTCGAAAATTGTACTTGAACGTTTCACGTTCAGCTAGAAGAAAAGCTTCATTATTGCCTTTGAATGCAGCCAATTTCGCATTTTTCTTTGGTTCTCAGATGTTCCCTTATTTTTTTCGGATCGATGTTACCAGCAAATCAAACAGTATTTCAAGCGGGAATCACAATCTTCGTTCAGATAGAGTAGACACCAACCAAACAGAAAATTTTCCCTTTTTCTCTCCTGACAATACATCTTTATCACGACCCAAAACATCGGCACACGTGGATTTGTCAGTTATTGCTAACCATGTTGTATAGTGACACATGGGAAACACAAACAAAGCCGTAAAAATGCATCTTAATTTTCACTTTTATTTAGAATCTTTGTTAATTAAATATTTAAATATCTCCCAAAATAATATTTGTTTAATGGACAGCTATAAGAAAAACTTTATTACTGGCTTTGGATCCACCTATTTCGTAATTTCCTTAGGGTTTCTAGACATTGGCGTATTGTTTTCGGGTTGACATTAACATCAAAATATTATTATTTTTATATAAAGAAAAGCTAGTGGTAGAAAATTGTGTGTTAAACGAAAAGTGTTTTCCTGGATAAAATGATCGTCAAAGTTGTATTAACGGCTTCACATACACACATACACAAACCGACTTTGGTTAGGGGTAATACTTCAGTCGCGCATTTCTCCTTAGGCCCGGCACATTCAGAAATTTCATTACGTAAACTTCACTTTGTTGATTGTTCTTAGATTCATTTTTGTATTGAGTATATTTAATATTTAAAGCTTTTCCTTTATAAATATCAGAAAAAATTATATAGTTTGAAAATCTACGTTCTGTAGATAATAACGCTAAGGCGGGCTTACGAGCTCTATTGAAATATTGTAGATTTATTCAAGACCAAATAAGATATACCGTAAATCAAACATGTATCCTTTAATCTTATTTATTTTATTTCACGAGCACTTTAACACTTCATCATTCTCACCAATCTACGGTGGCTCTTTTATGTTCACTTTTTAACAATAATGCTGAGTAACCACTTGGGAAAATGTTCCCAGTTTGCTTAAATCGCATTTAAACGAAAACATTTCACTTTCCTTGCATAAAAAGCCTAAATGGGCAAGTTTGTATTAGTGTTCACTCAGTATTGTATGCAAATTGTTTAAAAAAAATTTTAAAAAAAATTCTAGATTAGCAGATCAATGCCTACAGTAACGATTGTTTATGTTTATCAAAAATATTGTATGTTATTTAACTCCCAGATGATCTCCCTGTTCTATATGACGAGGTCAACACATTTTTTATCCGGCCTACAACAATTTCGATTGATTTATTACCCTGCGTATCAGCGTAAAAGGAGGGGAAAATATAGATACTACACATCCCCTTGAGCGAAATTTCTTCCGGATTTTTTGACATATACTGCGTAGTGTTTGCCTGAAGCTGAATGTCTGGAAATGATAGTCTGGCGTGAGTCGAAATAAAAGGAGATATCGGCGAATGAGCGGACCATTGACGCAGGTTGCTAAGAAGGACAATTATGTTGTTGACCTTCCATAAAATGTAATTATATTCGTCATAGGGCGTGATTCACCTTTTAACATACAAAATTCGCTTTTTAAACCCGGAAAATTGATGTACATGCATCTTTGCTAATTACGGCCTTGTTTCTTTCTCCGATGTGTCATTACACATCATGACTGGCAAATAATTGAAAAGCTATGGGCCTTCGTATGAGACGAGAATTATTTTGCTGTCATAAGTTGTATAAATTTATTAGAATTGATTTTTTTTGTTTTTAATTTTATAAAAGGTAATATTATGCAAATAAAGCTGGGATGAATATTTATTGTCAGGAGCGAAAAAGGGAAGTTCAAAATAGTTGAGATGGTTGGTGTCTTGAGGTCTTAATTGTAGAATATCTGGAGGAAAATCGTGGATTCGGATCCCGCTTGAAATACTTGATACTTTTCATCAAGCTGAACATAAAACGTTCAAATACTATTTTAGAAAGCAAATAAATATTTGATTGAATTACAAACGTCTAGAAGAAAAGTTAGATGCATTATAATTTTTTATTAATGGCATTATAATTTGATTTTATTAATCAATTACATTCAAACCCATTTTTAGGGTAGGTTGCGGAAGATTCATTTGAAAGACTTTCTTGGTCTGAAAAATCGTACTCAAAGGAATAGAAAATTTATGCTATTTTCCTATTTCTTTCTTCCTAGTCATAACTAATGACGGAACGCTTTAAATCATAAGACTTTGTTCATGTCAACTACATAGCCAGTTGCATCTCTCTCTCTCTCTCNTCTCTCTCTCTCTCTCTCTCTCTCTCTCTCTCTCTCTCTCTCTCTCTCTCTCTCTCTCCTCTCTCTCTCTCTCTCTCAAAAATTTGTTATCTCTTGCCAAAATGCTTTCTCAATCTCAGCTCCGTTTATTATCCACTGAATATATGTGAGATAAAATGGATAAAAATCGTATTCGCGATTAATCGCGGAACTAAAGTTTTGCCCACTTTGTCTTGGATTCCTATAAGCAGTGAACGTTCACAGGAGTTTGTTTTCAAATCCAAAGAATTTTAACAATACACAATCATAGAAGAATGATTTAATTATCCAACAGAACAGAATGCTGCATAACCAAGGGATTACAACACTAAAAAATATATAATCTCAGTCTTGAAAAGACTGACCCAAGTTAAATAGCTTTCAAGTTTAAGGAGTTTAAGGAATAACTTTTTTAAACTCAGATGCACTATTCCTCCAGAAAGAGTTCCATCTTGCCCAATAATAAAACGATTGCAAATGGCATAATGTTTTTAATCATCCAAAAATTCCTGGTGTAGTTAATAATGTTAAAAAATTTTAGTTCCTGCATCCAAATCCATCCACACTCTCACTCACTCTTAAATTTTTTACTATTTGTATTTCATTCACTCAGTTAGGATGGTGTAGTACTCTATATTCCTTCATCACCTTTTACTCCATTTATATAACCAACCTAATTGAGGGTCGACTCAATGTTCTGCCATCAACCCTTTTACACTACGCCGATTAATACATTCACACTCATACACGCTAGGTACACAAAACTATCTGTAATGTATACACTCAAACAGTATTTCCTCCAAAAATCGGAACCGGGGAACAAAGCACAATTTTTACATCGCGTGGCACCAATTTTTACATTTTTACCAAGATGTCAATTAGGTGGGGAAACATCGACCATCCTACCGGACGCGGGCTTTGGCTCAAAAGTCCGTTTGTCAACTTCGCATGGCTTATTCTTAATCGGGTGAGGATGATCCTTCTTCTACGAGTCAGTTATACTAAAATCAGTTTTAATTGCATAATAAACACGATCAAACAATATACAAAATAGTATTCCGACCCATCTGGACCTACGGAATAGAACTGTGGGGCTCAATCAAACGCTCCAACTCCCAAATAATCCCAGTCACTGCAGACAAAAATCCTCCGTAAAATCACCAATGCTCCTTACCGTACACACCGACCTCCAAATTTCTTTTGTCAAAGAACTCATATTTTCCCGTAACACAAAATTCCAAAACTCCATAAGTATACACACTAACCCACTTGTTCAACGAATATGCTCCCTACAAAATCCCGCCGGGTCAACACGCCGTATAAATCGCCAGTGGCCACGGGACCTACTTAATTATAACTAGGTTAGGTCGACATTGGGCAACTTATTTTTTTCCGGGTTTCACGCCCGTTTAATTTTTGATGTTATATATTTATGTATATGTGTATATGTAGGCATATGTATATGATTTGTTTACTAATGCTAATTTTGTTAATCTACGTAATAATATCATTTGTTTTAATAATAATCTCGTACAGATAAAAAATTATAATATTGACCAATATTTTAGCCTAGCATGTTCGGTTTTAAGAAGATATGAAAACTGAAAAGGATTAGAAGCAATCAAATGCTCCGTTTTGTATACTAGAGTACATAAAATTTAGCTTTAATAAGTCAAACAATAGTATAAAATGATTCACTAGTTTTCGTGGTCCGCTCGGCCAATTAATATCTTTCAATTTATTAAGGTTTTTAGTTGAGATAAAACTGTCAGTGTCACGAGCGGGATTCGAACCCACGACCTTCGGCTAGATACGCCGCTACTCTACCACTTGAGCTATCGTGACCTTGATCCACTCGGACACTAACTTCCCATCTCAACCCCACCTTTTGTATTATCCCTCCTTTTTTCCATTTCTCAAATGTCGTGTAATCTATTTGATTCTCGGCGGTTTTTAGTTGAGATGGGAAGTTTGTGTCCGAATGGATCGAGGTCACGATAGCTCAAGTTGTAGAGCAGCGGCTTATCTAGCCGAAGATCGTGGGTTCGAATCCCGCTCGTGACACAGATTTTTATCTTAACTAAAAACCTTAATCAATTTGAAAGTATAAAATAAGTCAAACTAGTGTAATGTTCTAAAACATACTAAATTTTAGGTCAAGCGAGAAAGAAAAGAGAGGATATAATTGGATGCCAGAGAAAGGGATTAAGTTTTGTTTTGTCGGTTAATCGCTTGGCATATTTTAATATCATTTAACTTGATAATAAAATCGTTCGTAAGGGCATCTGGCCTTACCTCGGTATCAAATAGAAACGCAACATCGTTGCCCAATTTTCAAGATTCCTCTTACATGTCAGTTTTCCAATCAGTTTTTCTTTAAATATAAAATACATATTTGCCGATAAAAATATTAGATCCGCCAATAAAATATTAGATCATTCGGCAGGCAGTTTTTATTATTATTAGTTATTATTAACTAGTGCGTAATTTTTGGTTTCTGTTTAAAAACAGATAAGGCGGAATGGTTGAGGACGGTGCCATTGAGGAAATACCTCTGAAAACAAGGCCGGCGTTGACTTACACACGGTTGCCGGCGACCGAACCAGTAGAAATTCGCTTTCAGGATCTCCAGTACAGAGCGTCCCTCGGTTTTAGAAAAGGTAAAATGGAAAATTCCTCATTGACTTTAACGTAAGTTTGAAAAAATCTTTTTGTTCGACAGGAACCAAAGAAATCCTTCACAATGTCCACGGAAGGTTTCTGCCTGCACAGCTCATTGCGATCATGGGGCCGTCAGGCGCTGGAAAGTCAACTCTCCTCGATGTACTCTCAGGTTACAGGTCAGCTTTAAATAATATAAAACATATTTACACCGAATACATTTATATTAAGCCTGCTAATTCGTTGGAGTTTCTTTCTTTGTTTACTAATTTCTTTTCCCGTTTCTCTAGCAAAGTTATGATCAGACCAACTAGGGCGGTAACCTACTCACACTCTCTCTCTCTTTTATATCCTAGCCTCCCTGTACCTCACGGCCTCGTCAATTGTGGATAAAATAACACAAATAACGAACACAGCTAAACGTAAAACAAAAACAAGATAAATGTTAGTTATTCGGAAATCGATAGATGCGGTCTGGTGTGATGTAGGTTTCAGAAAAACATTTTCTTTATCGTTTATTGAAATCATCTTCAGGGCCTGGGATTTACAAACATTGTTTAAATTTAACAAATACATGTAGGATGTGGAAAAAAGTGAATTTATACAATGAAAAAAATATTATTTTATATTCAATCAAAGTATTCTTACTCAAAGTGTTTGTTTTCTGCGTGATTGTGCCATTCTAGCGTGTTGTGTTGAAAGTGCCAGTGAAATATTTCTGTTTTATGACACCAGACACCAGACCGCATCTCACGATTTCCGATTAATCATCGACTAACGGTCACTAATCACCACACATTTCCACCTAGAAGAACAAAGAACATGGGATTCTATGAATAAATTTCAACTACATATGGACACGAAGCAAAAAGTATTCTGAAGGACATCACCAATAATGAGAAGAAACTCGCATTGGCTATTAATCAGAGAATCTTTTTGTTGAAATGCAGACAACACAAGGTATTTCCTACTCACATCAAAAACAATTTTAATTTCACAAATGCCACACTAACACAACCCAACACCAGAATTAACATAAAGCCACAATACATTTCAAAAGAAACATTTTACACATAGAAATCACCACGGGCATAAAAAACACTAAGACATTAGCACAAAAATTATACCAATTAAAACTTAGTGCCGGCAACATAGTACCTACAGACATTTTAAAAATTTTTTACAAACATAAAAAAGATGCATACAATTTCCACTTTGACCAAATTAAAAACAAACCCACCAAAAAATTGATCAACTTAATCAACAAACACCTGTTAATGCAAACAAATGGTTTCTAAACCTAACAAAAACATTCCTCCAGAAATCCAGACTACCACTTGGTCCTAAACATTCCATTCGTTACAACAAAACAGATTTTCCAACAGCTAAATTAATTACTGATGTAGACTATGCGGTCCAAAAGTCCACAAAAAGAGAAGAAGAAAAAGACATAACACGATCAAAATGCATTAACACAATAACACATCACTTACAACACCTCACTACAAATCAACACAACATATCTCAACAAACATACACCAAAACCAAACATTTTCTCAAATATAATCCTGACATACTCATTCTTTCTGCTGATAAAACAGTAGCAATCAGCAAAAAACAGTACAAGGAAAAAAATTAACAAAATTATCAACGACACAAACACATACAGCACAATCAAATCAGACCCTACCCCTTCTCTCATCAAACAGATAAACAAAATTCTCCAAGAAACACTTAAACGAAAAGAAATTGACCTATACACCTACAAATCACTTCAAAACAACTCACCAACGCCCCCGAAACTATACGGATCTGTAAAAACACATAAACCTGAACACCCTCTAAGATCCATAATTTCATTTGTAAATTCCCCTAAATATAACATGACAAAATACCTAACCAACATATTCAACAACATCACAGATAACACATATAGCGTAAAAGATTCATTTCATTTAATTAACAAAATTAATATTATTCTCATCACTACTCTCTCATATCCCTAGATGTTTCATCATTGTTAGTTCTAACTAGCTAGTTCATAACAATGGTTCGACACTGCTGTATCAATGGATATTTTACATACAACAATCAATTTTACAAACAACTATTTGGCATAGCCATGGGTAGCAACCATGGGCCCGATACTTGCAGACATAATTATCACATCTATTAAACACAACGTACAAAAAAAAAAAAAAATCTCACTGGCACTCTCAACACGACACGCAAGAATGGCACATTCACGCAGAAAAACTTTAAGTGAGTAGAAATATTTTTATTGAACATATAAAATATTTTTTTGCATTGTATAAATTCACGTTTTTCCACATCCTACATGTATTTGTTAATTTTAAACAATGTTTGTAAATCCCAGGCCCTGAAGATGATCTCAATAAAGATCGAAACGTTGGCACGATAAAGAAAATGTTTTTCTGAAACCTACATCACACCGGACCGCATCTCACGATTTCCGAATAATCACCGACTAACGGTCACTAATCAACACACATAAATATTAGTGTGGTTAGCATTCACACTACCACACAGTACTCGATATACCTATATTCCTAGATATTCGAGGTAAATGGTTGTATGCCCCTCCATTCACGCTAATAAATTGTTTTCACACACTACAATTCATCCACACTATCCAAGAGTACTCGATATTCTTGTATTCAAATATTTCTTGATATTCAGGGTTGTACAACCCTCCATTCACGCTAATAAATTATGTTCACACAACACAATTCGTTCACATCCCTCCACAGTAAACGATATTTCTCGGGGTAATTGGGGATAAGCCCTACATTTATGCTAATAAATTACATTCACTCACAATAAAATAAAATAAATAAGGATACCATGCTCCTTATGGAAATATTTTGATATAACCGCTATAATAATGTTCTAATTTAAAAAAATATCATCGTAGTGTTTTATTAAAAGTTAATTCTTTCAAAACTGTCAGATTAATAAACAATTTTCAAATAGCGCATTAATATCTAAACTAATAGCTTGTCATTTCTGATCATTTTTAGTCTGCTTATCATCGCCATTTTGATCTGTACATAATCAAAATTATTAATGTTTTACCTCTAGACCCAAATATATTTTCGCCTTCAAAAAAACAAAAATAAATAAATAAATAAATAAAAATAAAACAATGCCTCGTCTTCTGATGAAATTTAAGCACTAAAAAAGTTTTAAATTATTTTAACACAGGTTACATTCCGTCATGCTTAAATTCTATTGACTGGTAATTTTGTTTTGATTTTAAAAGCTTAACTGACTCAATGACTCGACTAATCCATCCATTTAAAACCAACTCATATATTTATTTTATTAGAATGAGATAATAATAGAAGAGATACATAATAAGAATAGAACGGAAAGATCAATGCAATTTCTAAAGGCATTCTCATCCATAACTGATTAACAGAACATTTCGAAATATGTACGCTTAAATGTGTTTATGATATGATCTCTTAATCAATTAGGGTACTTGGTTTAACGACCCCATTGTTTTTAAAGATTTCCTGAGAATCCATTTGCATAAATTGTATTCTTTCTTCTGAAAAAAGACTGTAAGCGTGTGACGTGGGTGCATATGAACTCTATGTAATTTCAGTAATGAAATGTTACTACTTTGTCCCAGGATATCGTTTGCTATCTTATCTTCTTTCCTTTTATTTGGCAACTGACCGGATATTTTTTGACTGAATGTTGTTCCTTTCGCTATTCCACTGCAATTTATTTATTTTTGAAAATCACTAATTGCTTAATAAACAAGCTCACCATCAATAATAAAAGCATATCCATTAGTAAAAACATTAAAAAATGTACAAAACTGTCAAATTAAATCTGTCAACTATTAAATTTAAATACGTAAATTAATGACGATGAAGGATAATTTATATTTTAAACAGTCTAAACAAAATTTGTTGTGTTTAATCATAAATTGAAACAAGCTACTGTATAAATTGAAGGTGAACCCTTGTGAACAATAAAAAATATATTTAAAAGTACGCAAAAGAATTCTGTTAGTTATCTTATAGATAAAATTGTGCAATTGATAATAGCTCTTGGATATTACGTCAGTTCTTAGTTAAATTACACAAAACATTAATTTGAACCGTGATATCTTCTCCATGGACCACTTATCCAAGCAATACAAGATATAATTAGTTAAATAAATAAACAAAGAAAAGAAGTCTTTATTGCTTAGATTCCGGACCATGTAGGCATAGGAGGTAATGAGAATGCCGACCGAGCTGGCAAACGAGCAGCAACTATGCCATAGACCCGGAGACTCCCGTTACCCCGGTGGACGCCAAATATTGTCATAACTTTATGCTGGGAAGATTGGCAGGAACGCTGGATCCTAATGACCGACAAATTAAAACAAGTGAAACTGTCGGTCAACCAAGGTACATACAGAAGATGGATAAAAAAACACTAGTATTGACTCGACTGCGAATAGACCACACTAGACAGATGCATAGACATCTCATAATTTACAAAAGGCCATGGAAATATCCCCTGTGCTGCGCACAAGTAATCGTTAAATATATACTGCGAACAAATGGCGCCGCACAGAATGTGTGGCCTTTCATCAGAAGTATTAAAACACAGCAGTGACGGCAGCAAAAAGTTGATCGAATACCTGAACCGAATAAATGCATATTGTCACATTTGATGCTTTCCCCACACACGTGGTTTTCTTATCTGAAATATGAGTGTTGAGTGTGTTGTGGCGGAATATAGTGCCCACAGACCCACCAACTAGGTTAAGATTTTTCTGTGTTTGTTTTGAGTTCTTGAATGAATGTATTATTAGCGTGAATGAATGTGTATGTGAGGGTGGGCTTGCAGTGAAATATCGAGTACCCCCACACACATAACTAGGTTAGCTTTAGTTTAGGTATTTTTAGAGGTAAATGGGGGGGGGAGTATACATTCATGGGCGAAATATTATTGCCCCACTAGCTGCCCATTTTTTAGCTGCACTATGGTATAATAATCAGTATGACTTTACTTATTAGCGGGAATGAGGGCAGGCCTTCAGCAGAATGTCGAGTACCCGAAACCCTCCAAACTAAGGTGTGTGGATACGCACCAGTTTTTAGAAACTTTTTACCACGCGTATGGTGGCTAAATATGAGTTAAAATCTAGTCCTAGACGTTTCGAAAGACCGCCAGGTCCTAAGGGAGAGCTAATTCTTTTAGTTTTCAAAAAAAAAAAAAAAAAACTCGAGGTGCTGACAATAGCCCTCGTAGATAGTCGGCTGGGAAAAAACCGCATCGATAGGTCAAATAACGAAAGTAGGGAGTCGAACAGTTATTAATGTATTTTACTCCTTTATTACTATATTTTTTATGTGTAAGTTTTAGGATATGTTAATTAAGTCTGTTTAATTTAGGATAACGGGTGTCAGAGGAATTGTGACAGTAAACGGCCGAGAAAGGGATCTTGACGAGTTCCGAAGGGTCTCCTGCTACATCACGCAGGACGACAGACTCCAGCTGCTTCTAACAGTGAAGGAGAACATGAAAGTGGCCGCAGATCTCAAGTTTACTGCCAAGTACACCGAGGAAGAAAAATGGGCCATTGTGAGTAAAATGGAATCGGAAAAAGCTAAGATTTTTACAATACTCCTTTGCAGATAGACGAAATATTAAAAATGCTAGGCCTTTACGAATGCAGCAAGACGAGAGCGGGCCAGCTCTCCGGAGGACAAAAGAAACGGCTATCAATAGCCCTCGAGCTAGTCAATAATCCTCTGGTCATGTTCCTCGACGAGCCGACGACGTGAGTCCACAAGTTAAGAAAATTGGTTTAAAAGGAATAATGTTTTTTGTCTATATTTTCAGCGGCCTCGACAGTGCCTCTTGTCTTCTTTGCATAAAACTAATGAAGCAGCTAGTGGCACAGGGGAGGACTGTCGTTTGCACAATTCACCAGCCGAGCGCATCTCTATTTCAAAATTTTGACCACGTCTACGTTTTGGCGGAGGGCGAGTGTCTTTACCAAGGGTCGTCGACAAACTTAGTGCCTTATTTGGAACACATGAAACTCCCTTGTCCAAAATACCACAATCCGGCCGATTTCGGTAATGATACTAATTATATAAATTTGGCGTATTTTTCTTAATTTTGAAGCCTGGCTGGATTGCCTACGAGGGTACTGATCATCTCTCGGTCCGTTTCTTCTCCCTGTTTACCCTCAGTCAGGCGCCTTATGACTGGACAAGAGTTCAACACACAGACAGAAAATTAGCTCCTAGATGATGAATAACAAAACAATAACTGCTGATAAAGTATTGATTTCATTCATGAGGGGTTTCTTATGATTATGGCAAGTTGTTGATATTTTTTGAAGTAGCATGCTTTCCTAACATATTTCTGTTGTGGGCTGATCAACCAGTTGAGGTATATTGTAGAATGTTGGGATCAGGTCTAAGGTAAATAAGTACAAGGGCGACTTTCCGAGCTTTCAGTATATTATAATACCTTCATCAGGGCAACATATAACAACATAGGTGTCTGCCCTGATGCAGGTTTTGTCATAAATTAATTAAGGTTTTAGTTGAGATAAAAAAGTCAGTGTCACGAGCGGGATTCGAACCCACGATCTTTGGCTAGATACGCCGCTGCTCTACCATTTGAGCTATCGTGACCTCGATCCACTTGGACACTAACCTTCCCATCTCAACCCCACCTTTTTGAATTTTCCCTCCTTTTTGCCATTTTTCAAACGTCGTGTAATCTATTTGATTCTCGGCGACAAATGAAATGGCCACGGAGAGTTTTAGTGAGGTATACTTCATTTAAACTTATTAAATTCATTAGTTTCGTGGTCCGCTTGACCAATTAATATCTTTCTATTAATTAAGGTTTTTAGTTGAGATAAAAATGGCAAAAAGGAGGGAAAATTCAAAAAGGTGGTGTTGAGACGGGAAGTTAGTGTCCGAGTGGATCAAGATTACGATAGCTCAAGTGGTAGAGCAGCGGCGTATCTAGCCGAAGATCGTGGGTTCGAATCCCGCTCGTGTCACTGACTTTTTTATCTCAACTAAAAACCTTAATTAATTGAAAGATATTAATTGGTCAAACGGACCACGAACCTAATGAATTTACTAAATTTAAATGAAGAATACCTTCACTAAAACTCTCCGTGGCCATTCCATTTATCGCCGAGAATCAAATAGATTACACGGCATTTGAAACATTGCAAAAAGGAGGGAAAATTCAAAAAGGAGGGGTTGAGATGGGAAGTTAGTGTCCGAGTGAATCGAGGTCACGATAGCTCAAGTGGTAGAGCAGCGGCGTATCTAGCCGAAGATCGTGGGTTCGAATCCCGCTCGTGACACTGACTTTTTTATCTCAACTAAAAACCTTAATTAATTGAAAGATATTAATTGGTCGCGGCCACGAAACTAGTGAATTTAATATGTTGTCATAAACTGAAAGCTGGCAAATCGCTGTTTTTTTATTTTATTTTATTTTTTAAATCTCTTAGACCATACACTTGATCTCAATGTATCTACCATTTGTACTACTTCACTATAGTAAATTTATGACATTAAATCTTGTCAATATTATTCAAATTTAATGATTTTTTTGTTTTGTTAATTTAAAGGCAAACACACATATTTAATATAGTTTGCAATTCTCTGTTACATTTTATTGAACCTGCTTTTTAACATTCAGGAAGAGAAAAAATCGTAACCCCTCAGAAATGGATATGACAAAGGGGACATTTATGAACCATTTGTACAATTAATTGATGCATATTAACTGTAATAGTCATTATCAGCACTGGATTGCCTATTTTTCCATGTAATCAATAACTTTTACTCAATTTAACGATAAACAGGAAAACAGGACAATAGGATAGATTATTTTTCTTTAAAAAAATTAATTCATTAATTTAAAAAAATATAAAAATACGTTGTTCGATTTCTTTTTTCTTACTTTTTTTATTCAGTCAAAATAGGTTTATCAAAAGTTCTTGCCAAGGGTGAATCAAGTCCAGCAATACAATTGCATGATATTAGTATTTTGACAAAATAAAATTTATGAAACATCCTGACATGAATTTTATTTTAGTTATCGAACTTGCTTGTGGTGAGCATGGCAAAGATAAAATAAAAACATTGGTCCATGGAACACAGAATGGTAGATCGATACAATTTTTTGAGAATGCTGATCAGCTACCTCCTACAACTCATGTTGAAGGTATTTAAAATTTGTCTATTTATTAAGGATCTGAAAAAAACATTTTTTTAACAACTTTTATTGCAGTTTCCCACAAAAGCCCACGCCTACCGGGTAAAATCAGATGCACTTCGAGCCTTCAAGACACATCTCAGATGAACCAGTTGTCGGTCATTATTACCAGAGGGTTTGTCAAAGTGATGAGGGATTCTGTATGTATGAACTACAACAGTTTTCCGTAATATTGGTGATTATTTCTTTTTTTTTTTTACATTTCAGACATTGACCTATATGAGAATCGTTGCTAATTTAGTAACTGGATTTATGCTGGGACTTTTATACTACAATTCTGGTGTTGACGGATCAAGAGTCCTTGACAACTACAATTTGTTATTTTCTATACTAATCCATCACTCAATGTCTACAATGATGTTAACAATTTTGACATGTAAGAATTCTTCATTCACTTCAATTATTGTCAAATAACAAGATTTTATTTTTTCTGTTTGCACATGCTAGTACAGACTGTATAGCATAGTACGTTAATGGTCTTGATGAAGAAACAAATTCAATTATTACTGCAGGTTTTTGATTTATTTTAATGTCATCATCATGGCAAAACAATCTTATAGATGATTCTTTGAAGAATGACTATGTCCCAAAATTGCCAAGGCCTGTGATTGAATTCACTTTTGCATCAAGACCATACCATGACCCAGATTATTCATTAAAAAAGTGGTTGATACATCTCACACTTAATACTTTTATATACAAAATTTTGCAAATGTATTCAAACATATTCCAAAATAAATTTTTCCAATTTTAATTTAAATTTTTATATATAAAGTTTTTTATTTAATTTTGAATTTTACATTTATATTCAACTCTTAATTTTTATTTTATTTTTACATTTGATATTAGATTTTTTCCATTTTTATTTTGATTTACATTTAATATTACTTTTCCATTGTAAAACGCACCCTTGTCTTCCTTACCCACTATGTATAACTCCGTCTTAAGAACCATGTACTTCCCAACTTTATGAAAATTTTTCTCAATTAATCTGATCCATAAACCCAACATCTCGTCCTATTGTCCTATATGTCTTTTTCCCTTGATGGGAAAGATCCTTGAAAAACTACTCATATAATTTTATCATACTTAACTCCCTTTAATTAATCCAGATCATTACTTTTTTCCATCCACATCTACACTCTACAGCCCAGCTGTCTTTCTCGATATTGCACAAGCAATTGATTCGGTCTGACATGCTGGTGTACTGAGAAAAATGAAAGCATCCTCCCTACTACCTACTGCCTTATCCTAAAGTCCTACCTTGCTGACCGTTATTTCTGAGTTCTTTCCATTCACCCCTGTCCATGCAGGATCCCCCAAGGTAGAATTCTTGGTCCAATCGTTTACATAACATATACTGCCTATAATACCTAATCACCCAAATATTTCCTTGTTCACATTTACAGATGACATTGCAATCCTGTACACCCACAATGATCATGTCATTTTCGTTCGTACACGACAGTCTCACTTTAACCATCCTTGAGCCTGGCTTTGGAGGATAAAAATACATGCCAGTACATTAATTATACATTGCAGCGAGCAATCCTACCTCCTATATACCACAACTGTGTTCCTCTACCCATGACAAAATGTATTCGCTGTTAGAACTATAATAAACAAACACCTCACGTAGAATCTGCATACTAGACTTAAATGACAAGTACTCAATAGATGGTAGAAACTTTTTTCTCGACTTTTAGACAGCTGATCCAAACTAGCTATCCCTTAACAGTAAAACACTAATCTACAACATGTTACTCAAACCAACATGGACTTACTGGAAATATGGGGCTCAGCCAAAATATCCAACTCTTCTTGAATCTAATCCTTCCAGTTCAAAACCCTCTGTTGTTTTGTTCCAGTTACAAATGCTTCTTTCTGTGTCCAGTCATACCTTTCACCATGATCTCAACATCCCTTTTGTTTCCCACATTCCACTCCTCACACACTGGTAATCCTTAACATGAATTTTCTCTATCACACTTCCCGGTTTACCTATATCAGAGTGTCACTACTGAGTGACTTCTCCGTTCAGGACAATACATGTGAATTACTCTTTATCAACATTATATTTGCTTACTGTAGTTCATTCTACAATTGTAAATTTCAAAAATAAATAAATAAAAAGCTTCATTTTTTCTTTTAGTTCCAATGGAAATGTCAATTTTAATCAAAGAACATTTTAATCGATGGTACTCTCTCAAATCATATTATATAATGGTGAACATTGTTGACATACCTGTGGCCGTAAGTACAATGTGTTAATTTATTAAAAATGTTTTATTATGTTTATATAATTTTATTAAATGTAAACTTATGATGCTTTTAGGCTGGTTGTTGTATAGTGTTCACCATAATAATTTATTTATTATCCGGCCAGCCATTGTCATGGGAGAGATTCTCAGTGTTTTTGGTCTTGAGTCTTCTTGTAGTGTTCATAGCTCAGAGTATCGGATACATCGTAGGAGCAGTTTTCAACAGTGTAGTCGTAAGTTTTCTGCATTTTTTTTTTTAATGTCACATAAAAATTTATCTGTTGAATTTTAGAATGGAACTTTTGCTGGGCCAATTCTAATCGTTCCAATGATGATGTTTTCCGGTTTTGGTGTAAATTTCCGAGATATTCCAGAATATCTTCGCTGGGGCACACATCTATCATTTTTGAGGTACAGTCTTGAAGGTTATGTTGGTGCTATTTATGGCATGGACCGAGGTACCCTTCCTTGTAATGACCACTTTTATTGCCATTATAAATACCCAGACAAATTCATGTATGATGTTGCCATGAAAGGGGATGTATACATGAACTGCATTATTATCCTCATTATGATGCTCATCTTTACTAAAGTTGTAGCTTACATATTATTAAGATGGAAAATCAGGTCGCTTAGATAAATCTATTTTAATTAAACATTTAGAAACATAAGACTGTGAATTATATTTTATCCTTTATTTGCTAATGATGATTGGTTAGAAGGATGGTTAATGTGATGTTTATAATAGAAAATCCCTTTTGGGAAATTGACATATAACTAATTCAAAGAAAAAGACAAGACGCTTGTTCGACAAAATTAATATTTTATAATTCTTATCAGGGATTTAATATTATTTAATACAAATTATTTATCATTTCTTGTGATATTAAGATTCAACATCTATTATTACAAAATAAAATAACCAAAGTATAGCTTTAGAAATATTTAAAGGACAAACTTAAAGATTAAAATCTTTTTGTTGTTAGATTTTTGTTAATTTAATTTTCAATTAGGGTTTTAATTTTGTATTATTCTCAAATAATAGTCTCAAATAATTATATATATAACATGACAATATTTTGCTTTAGCAATAAGAAAATATTGATATTTATGAAATGAAAAATTGCTCAAAGTTTTTGTACTTATATTTGACAATAGTTAAACATTATGAACATAATATGTAATACAATCAGTAAAATATGATTTATATATACATATTCCAGATCCTATAGAGGTTGGTCATTTTTGAACAAAAACTGGGTAAAATTTGTTTATAGATATATTTTATGAAATTTGTTTGAATTCTTTTGTCATTAAAAGGTCTACTTAATTTATTGAGGGTTCAACTTCAGAGCATATATATATATAGTATGTATATGTTAATATATTTTGTAAGATATATTTTTATAATTTGTAAATAAAGAAGTTTTTATCAAATATAATTTATTCTTTCCATATTTGCATTTGTCTACAAAATAAATAAATTTATGGTTTCATTTGTTTTTGTTATTTGTCAATTTCACTCTTTACAAGATGCTAATTCAGCAAGAAAATGACAAATAGTAAACATTTTATTTTCCATATAATACACGTTATTGCTACATAAACCCTTTCTTTGCTTTTCTTTTCATGCTTTCTTGCCTTTCTCACATTTTAATCCTACTAATTTCTTTTCCTGTTTTTCCAGCCTAATTATGATCAGGTCAATTAGGACATTAACTCTCTCTCTCTCTCTCTCTTTTCTTTATCCTACAGCCAGCCTCTAAGTGCCTCTGGGCCTTGGCAATTGTTTACAACATAACACAAATAGCAAACTCAGACCCACGTAAAAACAGAAACAAGATGAGACACAATAATCTGGTTAGCATTCACACTACCCTAGCGTACTTGATATTCCTCGAGAGAATTGGGGATGAGTCCCTCCATGCGTGCTAATTAATTCCATTAATATACCACAATTCATTCACGTATCCCAGAGTATGTACTTGATATTCCTCGGGATAATTTGGACAAGCCTATATGAAACAATTCTAAATACAACAATCGCTAGCCAGCTATAATCAGAGCTGATGTATCCTTGTCTTTAAAATGAAAACTATTTTTATTTATATGGTGGCTGCTTACTGCCATGATCATAGCATGAAAAGAATCCAGGAACTTGGAATCGAAATCCAAAGAAAGGGCAACAGAAAAATAAGTAAAGCAAAGCCAGCTTACCGGTACCTGTAGTGTGTTGAAAGTTAACACAGGACTAATCTGTGAAGTGAGAAGGAATCAATAAAACAAAACAAAAAAAAATAAAAAACAGGGAGAATTAGACCTAATTTTCAAGGTTTTGTGATTACATATTAACCTGTTCCTCATTCCAATCTTTATACGGAAACAGTAAGGTTAAATCAGTTAATAAAAAAAGTCCTTCAACACCGACTGGTTTGCCTAAATTTCTTATTATAAATCATTATTTCTGTAAATCTTAATATATTATTTAATTTTAAACACTTTTGAACATTAATAAAATAAATTATTTAATTTGAAGGTCATTTATTTTCATAACTTTGAATATGCTAATTGAAAGGCGACACTGTGTTTCCAAACACCTAGGCAAACACTTTTGTTTTCCAGAAGTTCATTCCCTTCAGCCTGATTTTTGTGCAATATTATCTTAATAGCAATCATGTTTTGCTTAATTAGTACGATATCAGCCCTCACTATAGAAATGCCATGGTCCAGTCAGGAAGTTAGATTGTATAATGAAGTAAAATTATTTTGTGAAATAAGTAATGTACTTCATAGATCCTCTACAATTTATAATTCATTTCCTAGTAAGAGGATGCTGAAAATCGACAATGTTTAGGCCACCCAGAAAAATCAAACACCATCTAAAAGTGTGCCTTTCTCAAAGAAGTGAACACCAACCATCAGTGCCCCAGAAATTGTAGGTATTTTGCATCAGGATTATAATATTTCATTTATGCCCCAAACAGTATGAAATACTGTTAAAAAAACGGAAAAAAAAAGTACGGATGCAATCCCAGAAAGAAGCCCTATGAAAAAGAACAGTGAAAAGTGCATGCTGTTTGCTAAAGAGCATTTAAGTATGCCTGATGAATTTTGAGAAGCAGTGCTAAATTGTACCCTACATTTTAAAAATAATTAGATTGATTTAACAAAAAAACGTTTTTGGCTACATACTCAGTATCCAACCTTGTTAATAGTTATGTTTGGGTTTGCCTCCTGCAGAACTGCACTTAAAAGCAGGATGTACAGTTATGCTATTGAGAAATTTATGCATGTGAAACGGTTTGTGTAACAGGGCCCATTTGATATAGGAAAAATTGCTAGGTACAGGAGATATGTGCACATGCTTCAAATATATTTAGACGAGCAGATATTGAAATGCCCTTTGTTTTGAAATAGTTGCAATTCCCAGTGTGTTTAGCATTTGCTAATAAGTCACAAGGACAAAATTTTGAGAAAATATGTTTGATTATAAATTCAAAAAAACACAATATTTACTTTGGACAATTATATGAAGCCCTGTCTAGGTGTACAAAAAAGATGGGCATTAAAATAGAATGCAAATTAAAAGAAAAATGCATAGAAAATGTTGTTTTTGATGAAGCGTTGGTGTAGCATATAAGTTAACTTTTCTTACAAGTCTGCCAAAAATTGACAAGTTGAGTTTTAAAAAAAATGTTGAGACCCCCTAAAGTATAATTATTTATAATTGAATGATAAAACCACATTATGAAAGAAAAGCAGAAAGAGAAAAAAGGTAAAAGGAACTGGGAACAAGATTTATGTCATTTTAAAAACTCTTTTAAAAAAACTCATTTAAACCTGAAACCTGGAAGCAGAATGTACTGCCCAAGGATAGTCTTGCCCCCACAATTCTGAAGGATAAGGCTAAAGTTTTAGAGGAGTGTTGAAGGCATGGGATATGATTGGTGCGTTTGGATAAGGAATGGGGGAACAAAGTTGATAGATATTGAGGACATTTATTTTATTTTATTTATATGTATACACTGATGGACAAATTTAACCTACCCTTTATAAAAAGGATTGAACACCACACTCATTCCACCATTCATCGTTTCTATTAATTTAACCTACTGCTCAATTTATTTAGTTTGAAATTAAATACATTATCTTTCTACATTAATTACTGGTGATTAGGAGCTATCATAAAATAAACAGTAAATAATGATTTGTTTACTTTTGTCCTGATTAATTGTCCTATTTACACAAAAAGTAGCATTATGCCCAACCATTCTGCTTCACCTAAAGATTACTTTCAGTTAATGTTTTTTCCTTTGTTAATTTCATTTGATATTAGCCTTATTTTTAAACCGTTTCCAATGGATTCAGCCAGGCATTTGAGTGAGCATGAGAGTGTCAGGGTCATAACATTATTAGAAGGAGGCAGCCAGCATGGAGTCGCAAGGAGACTGAGTGTAAATCATTCTACAATATGAAGGGTTCTTTTGCATTTCAAAGATACTGGGCTTCACATTAGAAGGCTAGGGAAGGATCAACCTAGGTCTACAGAAAAGAGAGATGATAGGTTCATCCATCATCAGGCTCTATGAAGAGGATTACGGGAAATGAGATAAAAAATCTGATAGGACAAGTCTGAAATGTTGTTTCATGGCCAGAACTGTAAAAAGAAGGCTAAATGAAAATGACCTTAGGGCTTGGTACCCAGCTCATGGACCACTTCTTACCACAGCTCACAAAATGGCCAGGTTTCAACTCGTACAGAAACATGTGAATTGGGCACTGGAATATTGGGGGGCAAGTTCTCTTTACAACTGAAGTGAAAGTTGGCCTCAAATCTTCTCATGGGCATAATTTCATATGAAGACGCTCTGGAGAAAGGTACTCCCAATGTTGTATGGTTCCTCAGATGGCTCTAGGGTGGCATTTCCTTGGATGCCCGCATCAAATTGGTTGTTGTGCAAGGAAGATCTCTAACATCACAGAAGTACTTGCAAGACATAATCAAAGAACATGTAATGTCATTGCCCCATTGTCAGTGGGAGATTCTTGCGAATGCGGGATAATGCCAGGCCCCCATAGAGCACATATTGTGATGACTACCTGAATGAGGTTGGAATTGAGTGCTTGTGTGGCCAGCTCAAAGTCCAGATTTGAACCCAGTCAAACACATTTGGGACCAACTTAAGTGATGTGTATGACAGCGAAACCCAGGCCCTAGAAGAGTTGGAACGGTTATTCTTTATGAATGGGAAAGAATTCCTCAGGATTTTATCAAAAGGCGTTTAACGGATGTGATTTTTATATACTAGGTATTAAAGTGTTTTTTACTTTTATAATTTTCTTTTTTTAATTTTGTTTCTTTACTCAATAATTGTAATTAGGTAATGAACATTTTCTTTTTAAATGTCTTATTTTCACAACCAAACCTATTTTTGGTATGCAAAGTATGAATAAGCCTAACTACATTAAAATTGAAGGGTAGTGCATTAATGTTGTCCATCAGTGTATTTTACTGTCCTTGATTTGTCAAATGCCTTTTTTTCAATTAACACTCAAAGAAAATTTGCGTTCATTTACTAAATAAATCTGTTTTAGACCCCATCTTATGAACTGGGGTAACGTAAGAGCACTACCAAGCATTATGAAAAGTACTTGTGCCAAGGGGAAACAAGCAAGCAATAGCCATATGCAGTAATTGACTTCATCTATAAAGAAAAAAACCTAAGATACCATCTGATATATACGTGGATAAAATTTTAGGCAATTAAGAGCTTTAAGAACAATATTGTCAGAAAAATCAATATTGTTTATGTCAACATCACAGTACTGGAGAAGTTGGAGTCAGAGCTATGTTTATAATTTTTGCAAAACAATATAGAAAAAGCCTGTGTGATAGCTGGGACTGAGAAGTATTGGCCATCATGGTTTAAAATAGAGGGAACGACACTATTAGAACACTTAGAGTTAACAAA